ATATATATATATTAAAAAATTAGAATAACTGTTTTAATTCTACACATTTAAAAAAAAAATAGCTCATCTGAAAAATATCATCCGATACCGTTCATCTCATGACAGGAGCAACTCACTTTTACTGCAGGACACCGCAGTTACTGTAAGGAAAACACTTTTACAGAAGTCGAACGGTGACTGATTTGAATAACAGTGTGAACGGTAACTGATTTAAAAAAGTAATGCAAAATGCTGTAATTTTTTAATTTTGATTTTTATTGAAGGGACTTCTTTGTTTTAGAAAATATTTCATTTATTTTTCAATAAAAATAAAAATTTAATTTCAGAGTTTTCTTAGTCTCTGAATTAAAAGGAATTTTGTACGTTGATTTTCCGTGAATTCGCATTGACCAATCATCAATGATCTTTTAATTTCAAAACAGAGTGGTTTATTTATTTCTAAATAAGCCCAAAACGTTTAAAAAAATTAAAATCATCAAGAAATCTTTTAACTATTTTAAATAAAAGTTCAAATTTCTAATTAAGTTAGACAGTTTTCATCAAATAGTTCTAAGAATTTTCGCTAAAAGAAACTTTTGCGTCTGAATTTTTAATAATTTTAAATTAATTTAAAATTAATTTATCATAAAATAATAATTTTGTTAGGTATAAACACAATTTCCTTCAATAAATACAATCAATTATTTGATTATAATGATGAGCATTTCATTATCTGTGCAAATGATGAAGTTATTTATAAGAGGTTTAGTTAATTACTTTAAAACAAATAGTTATGAAATATAAATTTGTCATAAGATAAGTCCTATAAAAATATTTCTCTTGAATCATCATTGATAACTCATGATCATAAAAAGCGAAAGAACTCATTGTTAGATAAGTAAAGCATTAGATAAGTAAAGGACAGGAAGGATCATGAAAGTTAAGGCTCTACTATTTCGTGACCAACAGTATGATTATGGCAATGTGGTCAGTAATGCGCACTGACCACCTTTACCTCCCAAGCAAGATGGTACCCATTTATCTGAAGCTGGGTGGGCTTCAAGCCGATACTGGGAATTGAATCCCAGTCCAGTGCCTTTAACACTAAGCCATCGCGGTTCAATTGTAAAATAAGTATTTTATTTTGCAGTAAAAAAAAAAGGTGAACGAAATTAACTACAATGTTACTGAATATTTAAAAGCTCTTTGTACTTGGAGTATTTTTAATAAATGATTTTAAAAAGATTATTTATTCAAAAGATTTTATACTGTAGTCAGAAGAAAAATTCTCATTTTAATGTGTTAATAAACCAAAGTTTATGAAAAAGTTAATATTTAATATTCCTGTCTACAGTCTGCTAATTTCCTATCCTTCCTTCCTTACTTGAAAACACGAATGAATTATTGTGAATAAGTTAAAAACGGAATAAAGTATATTTCCTATGCAATGAGCCACCATTGTAAAAAATCTCATACTTCAAGAGCATCATCCACCAAATTCCTATAGTATAACTTCCTTATAAACATCGTATGGACATTGCGCAATGATTCAATGCATGACAGAGTCTCAAATTCTTTTTTCTAAATCACAAAATGAGTATTTTGTAGTTTAAAACAAAAAGAATTTTTTAAAACTAATTTTGCGTAATTTTTTTTTTTTTTAAATTTTAAAAGTATGTATTTGTTTAACTAACTGTAAACAAAATCTAGGTTGGTAATGATTTTTTCCTGCTTTTATCTTTCCGAAAATGTCAAATGCATTTCACGACAGTATATAAATATTGATTTTTTTTTTTAATAATTTTCCACAGCTTTAATTTCTTTATTTTGTTTAATTATAGTTTGTTTCACAAACTTTTTTTTTCCTTTATTTCCTTTCAAATAAAAGTCTATCCCTCTTCACGTTTCACAAGAATCAATAAATAGTATTCGTTTAATTTTTGTTTTCCCCTTGAAATGGAAAGAAACACATGGTTTAAAATTCGGTTACCCTATGCTGTCATAGGTTAAAAGGAAAAGTTCAGAACAGGAAATTGCATAAAAAGACATTATATAAGTAACTTATTAAATGGATGCTTTATAAGGCATATACACTTTTTAAATTCAAAATAGAACTTTGTTTACAAACATAAACTTAGTAAAACTCATCAATATAAATTCATTTGCGAAAACTAACTGTTCTTGATTTCCATTACAACTATTTCTAGAAGTTATTCATATATGTAATATTTATGAATAAAGAAACATGCGGCAATTGTTCCATTGGATCGCGGCAAGAATCAACTGAGTCTGCCGGCGCAGCATCTAGAAATTAAAGCGCGTATACACTGCGCGAGTTTTAAACTAGAGTGCACATGGGAATCAGAGAGTGTCAAGCTTTCACCCCCGCACGAAAACCCAACATAAATGCTTGGACGAGAAGTAGAAAAAAATTCTTTTCCCAGCATCTTCCAATTGAAAGAGATGAATCAAAAGAGCAACATAGAAGCGAATCCCCGTTGCTCTTTCTACTCTTTAACTGAAAGATCGGAAGAACCATTGATTTCAGCTGATAGTGTATCAATAGATGTTTTTTTACAACCCTCCCAAGCGATAGTTGGTCTTGAAGTTTCGGAATAAGCATGTCCAGATATTCATGGATCGCTTTAGAATTTGTAAATTATAGTAAATTCCTACCTGCAACTGTGGTAAGTCGAAGTTTTTCCAGTACTGTACCAAAGACTGAACGTTCGCAGCCATCTTTGCCCAAGACGAATGACAACTAATTTGTCCACGTGACCCAGCATCCCTTGCATAGCCTCGAAACCAAACAAGCACTTCATAGCGAGAATCAAAATAAAGAACACCGACAATCCAAAACATGGAATGTCTTGTGAATGTTCGTGCTGGAATAATTGGGTATTTTAAAACTATTTATTGTTGCTAGATGATGCTGTGATCAAATTAAATAAAATGTTACAAATTATTTTGTTTTATTAATATTTATCTTTGTTACAACTTCCCTTGTTTTCTTTGTTGTTTTTCGAAATTCCGTACTCTAGCGATAAAATGTCACTTTGTTCAGTTATTAAATTATAAATTAAAAGCAATTTTCTTAGCAAACTTAAAATTTACTAGCCTAAATCTGTAGCAGAACAGCTGTTAACAAAAGCCTTATTATAATAATAAGTTTTAGTGAATGGCGTGTTCGAATTCCACTGAAAAATTTTCAGATAAACTCTAGTCTTATATTTTTGATATGTTTAGTATTCTTTTTTTCTTTTTACTAATTAAAATACTGTGTAGAAAATGCTATTGTTTTTGTAGATTTCAATTTGCATTAAAACATTAGTTATTTCATATTTTGCTTGCATTATGATTTGTTGTAAACAACTATTAATTTATTTAAATTTAACGTATTAGAGTATTTAATATTTGACAATAACGAGGAATGTTAATTTTAATTAAAGTTAAGAATGTTAATTTTAGTTAAATGTTTTCTTTTCATTTAGCCTATCTTTTTTAACTATTTGAAATAATGACTTTAAAGTCTATTGCTTTGTATAGAAGCTACAATTTCTGTTACTTGGAAACGAGGGTCTTTTTTGCTTTTAATAGATTTTTATTATCTTAGAAAATTATTTCAAGAACTAATGAAAGTGTAGTTTTTGTTAATGAAAATAATAAAAGTAATAAATATTTTTAGAAACTTTTAAGATGATTTCCACAACAATATCTATCCGAGCGTGAAATAGCTGAAAATTTATACTTGTGCAAACATTTGTTTTTTCAATTGCATATAAATAACCTATATAAGCTGTTGAAAAATTACATTAACAACATTACATCTTCAACAGTCAAAACTTTTATTTTACTATAAATTAGAATCATTAAATTTACTTTGTCAAGTATACTTGTTAACAAAGAAGTATTAGTTATTCTTAGCAAAGAAACAGTCAGGACTGATAGTGTTCATTTAGTAAATGCAGAGAATGATTATTAATAATTAAGTAATATTGATGAATGATTACATTTTGCTTTAAGGCGACATTTTAAAACCATCAAAGTCACATTTTTCATCACATTTCAATTTTATAACTTTCATAATAATTAATGTATGCACAATGATTGGGTCAAACTTTTTTAGATAAATTCTTTTTCATGTAAATAATTTCAATAAAAAGTTTTATCAAATGTAATAATTTTTTTCCATCCAACTTTGGTTTATACTTTATTTGCTTAATCCAGAGAATTTTGGTTGAAATTTGAGACACTTAATTGATATTTTACTATATTTTTGATTAAATAGAAAAAAAAATATTAAAGATTAAAAAAAAATGTCATTATAAAAAAAAATTGTAAAAGTAAAAATTACATGTTCAATTTGATTTTTAATATTCCCCAGACATGTCTGCAACATAAATTATGAGCACCGCAAACTTTTATGAACAAAATCTGTATTAAAAAGACTTTCTATGTGCAATTTGTTGATTTTTGTAGTTTAAACCCTTTCGCCGCCACCTCTTTTTGACGAAATTCTTTCGAAAATCACTAATATTTTTATGACTGAGTGTTTTAATTTTTATAAAACTCTATTTATTATTATACATATCAGCATATATTTCTTTAAATTTAGCAGTTTTTTGAAGATATAAAATTATTTATTGACTTGCCTTGTTTTATCTTTTATTAGGCTATTTTTTTATAATGAGTAGCACTAAAAAGTTTTCCTCAATGGGGATTAATTTTCTGCAAAAAGCATTCGCACGTTCATGCACATTATGCGTATCTGGCGAGCGGTGGCACTAGCATCAAAATGTTGCTAAATCTTGGCAACGAATGGGCAGTGGTTTGTTTCAAAAAGACCTATATTAAAATATACCCTGTTTTCTTGATAGGTATTGCTTTTCTTTTACTTACTATCACTATTTTGGTTTGATATAGTGTTAATTCTTTTCAAATCATTTTACAGGGTGTTTCTTTGTCAGCACCAAGTGTGAAAGTTTTGTGTTTATTAAATTCAAATTAACTCTTAGCCCTATAGATATTAAGACTTGGCAAAATTGGACAGAATTATTTTTTTATGTGCACCATTTTCTCATTAAATTACTTAACAGGATTTCCCTCTCACTCCCCCCTTTTTTTTAATAAACAATAAGTTTAAAGTTCAGAAGAAACTAGAATTAATACCCAGACGAATTATCCTTTTCTCAGTGTTAATCATCAAGGGGTAGCTTTTCATTGAATGTCAGGAGAAAATAAGTTTTCTTTTTCATAATAAAAAAAGTTTAAATAATTAGATTCTGGGACAAATACTGAAGGGTTTTTAAATGTAATTTTTACTGTTTTCCTTGTGTATTAATCATCTTCTTATTCTCTATGTTGAATTTTTTTTTTATTGTCCTTGTCTTGGATTTTCAATTATCTTGTACATTTTATTTTTCAGGAAATATGAAGTTTTTGCATATCAACTATACAATAAAGCAGAAAAATTCACTTAGGCAAAAAACTGGCATTTAATGACCTAGGTAAGAATTGACTACATAATTGCTTTTTACTTTTATTGAAATTTTTAAGCTTTGAGATGTTTTTGTATATTATGCTGTTATCTAATGAAAATTCCCAAACCTTGTGAATTGAGTAGGAAGTAGCAATAGAGAACAGTTTATGTAAAAATATCACTTTTAGAAAGAGTGTAGCTTACAGTTAAAGTAATAAATCTAGTTATTATTAATACTAATCAGTCAATATTAATAATAACAGCATCTTTTAGTCAAAGTGAGAAATATCACTAGTTATTCATTTTAGCTGAAATAATTGATAATAAACAATGAAGTTTAGTTAATCTGATTATTGGTTTATATAGCATTGGGACATGGGTGTATCTCTTTGTACATGTGTTATGGTTAAAGTGATAAGTTTGGTTATTATTAATACTGGTAAAAATTAATAATAACCATTTCTTTTGGCCAAAGTATGAAATAAAAAGGAGAGATTTTAATCACTAAGTCTTGGCAACTTCCGGACTACGACCTGCGAGAAACTAAAAAGAAACATCACAGAAAGGGACAACTCGAAGGGTATGACTCGTTGCCACCCCCGGGCAAATATCTACGTGCTTTTTTTTCGCCACTTTTAAATCAATTTGGCGATTGTAGTTGGCGTGGCAGATCCCGATGCGGAAGTGTCCCCAATAAAAAGCGAAAAAATGCCATTGACTTAACTTCATTGGTAATTATTCGTAAGCACCGGTTAATGTGATAAATTTGCTTAAATTATTCACTTTAACCGCTTTATTTGGTTATTATTGATATTGTAACATTTATATACATATATATTGCTTTTTTATCCTTTTTGTTTTTATTGTACTTTATATATATATATATACACATATATTGCAATTTTTATCCCATGTTATATGTTTTCGATTACTTGGATTGTATTCATAAAATACTTAAGGACTCTAAAATCAATGCTTGATTTGGACACCTTTAAGCATTTCTTATATTTTAAGCTGTTTATGGTAAGGAAAATAATGGTTGTAATGATAAGTAGGGCTACAAGTTTGTTACGAGAAAAAGATCCAAAATTCCCGGGAAATTTTGAAAATTACGCAGATCCTAAACATAAAAAAATTCACTATATAAATGATGCAAATGACAGAAATTACACAAATAATAAAAAAAGCTCAAAAAATACACAACAAAAGTATTTATTTTAATTTCAAGCAATATTAATATTTTTATATAAATGAACAGAATTTTGGTACAAAGTATTGTACATTGTCAGATTATTCTCATTTATGCTTTGTCTTTCATTACTTAATACATTTTTATACTTGGAAAATTATCTTTCTGCTTAAACGCTGTTTGTAGGCACCGACAAACATCAAATTGCCAATTTTGGATAGTGTTCGGTCTTTGATTTCCAAAACTCGATCAATTTTCCTTCAACGTGCAATTCCTTGACCGTTGCTTTGTAAGAAGTAATTGTTGTGAAGACTCAAACATTCTACATTCAAACTACTAGTTACAAAAGCCTTATGTGCCTCTCATCTAAGCAACTGATCCCTATTTAAGAAATCACAAGAAGCCACCCAGAAAATATTGCCTGGATATGTACAAAGGCAGTAGAAACTTCATTACCCAGTGCAATGAAGTTTCTGTGTTACAATTTTTCTGTCAAAGATTTGATTTATAACATTTTCCTTCTTTTGTGATTCTAATTTCTTTTGTACTCTTACTGACTTCAGGAAGGTAATCCTATCAGTCTCTTAACCTCCCAAAGTGTAGAAAGACCACCTTACATGACAATATTGTGATTATCTCTTATCTCTGAACTATTTTCTTGTCATTTTGTTATTGATTCACTCCCCTAAATATCTAATCAATTTTACATGTTCAATTTCAGGTTTCAGGAAAATAAAAAATTCTGTTAAATAAAAATAATAAATTAAAAATGAAAAAAATTTTAATTTTAAGTAATTTTTACTCAAATCAAAACATATTGAAGAATTCGCTGATTTTAGGAAAAAAGAGGATAATTTCGCAGAATTTCGTGCCGCGACAGACCTGCTGCCCTAATGATAGGAAATTTGTGTAATACCATTCTTTTACTAATACCTTTTTTGTTGCAAAAATATAAAAGTTCTTTGTTGGGAAAGAGTTCCAGAAAGTAAGAAGATGGGCTTTGTTAAATAATTGAAACTGTAATGTGATATATAAAACTGTAGCTCAAGAAATTTTAAAACCTAATATCATGATTTGTAAAACAAAATGTCGTAATTCATATTCACATGAGTTTTAAGATCAATGTGGCAATTCATATTCAACGGTTTTTAAAATCCAATATTGCGATTGGTATTCACATGGTTGTAATATCAAACATCGATTTTCGTATTTATACGTGATTTAAAAATTATGCATTGCAATTTGTATTCATGAGATCTAATGATTATGCATCGGGATACGTTCTTACATAATTTAATTTCGCAATTTTTATTTTTTGGTTTTAAAAATTCAATGTCGCAATTCATATTCATGTGATTTTAAAATCCAATATCGCAATTAAAGTAAGAAGTTAGTGTTTTCTTGAATTAGTTGCTACAAAGGGTGTGATATTTTTCATTAATAAGTAATTTAATTAGAAATGTTAGTACAAAAAATTATGTTAAATATGAAACACGTATAATTTATAAATTGATATTTTGATATCAATTTTTTTCACATAAAATTTTCAGGGTTTTTCACTTTGTGTCTCTGTCACCCCTAATTGGATTATCATGCTTTGTATTCCTATCTTTGTTTTTAACAAGTTGGCAGCTATGATTTTTGAATAACAATAACATTAAATAAAAGGCAGACTTTTCATCGATTTCCTTTAAAAAAATTTATAAGTCTTGCAACATATTTTAAGATAAACTGTAAAACATAATATCTGAGAAATTAACTGCGACTATATCAGCTTGATTTTTATAAATTACACTAGTATTTTATTTCTTACTTTTTTGTACAAAACTATAGAAAAATTATTGTTTTTTTTATAAGATTATTTTATGCTTTTTTATTTTAGAATTGGTACAGTTTTTAAAAAAGTTGAGCATAATTTTTTTTCTAATATTTTCTCATATTTATAAATTTGGTTCTGACTGTAATTGGAAATTCAATGTATTTGTAAATATAACTAGGAAAAAAAAGCTTAAATAAATCTGCCTATCTACTCTAATATTAAAATAGTAGATATAGACTAAAGATATAGGTTTTCTTGTATTAATTGAGTTACAGTACAAAAAAGATTATGTATGACAGTTAATACTCTTCTGAAATTTAGTGGAAATTTTATTGAAAATAGGTCAAAATCGTGCTCAACCTATGGGGAAAGTCCGGAGTCCTAATTGCATTAGAACATTTCAACTACCTAAGACATTGCTCTAATCAACACTATGAAATAATGTATAAAACTTTAAAGACATATACCATCACAATTAAAAAGGATAACATTTTCCATTCTTTTATTTATTGTCTTTGGATGACTTAAAGACAATAAATAAAAGAATGTCTTTATTTATTGTCTTTATTTATTGTCTTTAATAAAGACATTATACTTAAGACGTACTTTAAAAAGACATTATACTTAAGACGGACTTTAAAAAGACATTATACTATATAAGACATTATACTTAATACGAATGGATTAAGCATAACACTTTTTTAGAAATTCATCTGAGGAAAATAAAGATGAACTGCAATCGGTATAATTTGATGTGATGTTGCTGCCAACTTGCATGAGGTGGTCTCGGCAATCAATTTTCTCCAGTATTTATTATGTTTGGTGGACTGTGAAAACCCTGTTACCACAGTGCAGAAGTACCTATATTAATATATTATCTGCACCAATTACCATAATACCAGTAGTACTAATTACCAAAATTTATTGAACATTATTGGTCTCAATAATATATAGCGATTTGTTTACAGTCCGCCTTAATAAATTAGTGCTTTTTCAGACAACTTTAGAAATACTAAAAATTGAACAGGCTAATTAATATTTGTAAACCATTTTTAGAAACGGGGGGGGGGGGGGAAANGGGGGGGGGGGGGTAAAATTGTTCCTCCTAGCCAATGTCCAAATTTTAGAGCCATAGCACAATTGGTTCTGGAAAAAAAGCGATTTGACATACCATTCCAGACAGATATAATTACTGAGTAAATACAAAAGAAAAGTTGAAAAAATTTAACAATTATAATTAAAACAATATTTGCGATAAATTTTGCATAACCTTTTATTCAAGATGCAACTAGAAGTCAACTGACCGACCTTAAAATTTTAGTAACTCTTCCAACTGCTGCGTCACCACACACCTAAGGCAAACAATTCACCTCTGGATGATGTAATACCAAAAAAATACATTGCTCCATGGGAGAGAGCTAACCTCACATAAATTATACTTTTAAGATTTAAACTTTTTCCTTGAACAGAAACAGTATGTACAAATTTGTGTAGAATAGTTGAAAACTAAAATTTAAATTTAATGCTCTATCTATTAGCTTCATATTTTGTGTCACAAAGTGCATAAGTAAAATCAATAATCCGAAGTGTTTTTTAAGTTTTCATTTCTATTAATTCAACTAATGTACCAACCTTAATCATAATATAATATCAATTCATTTAGCAACATCTCTTTTATAAACTCCTTTCAAAATAGTTTGTTACAGTCTAAATTGTTCGAATATGTAGAGGTTTTGTTTTTCTAAATTTATTCATTATTTTCTTGTAAACTGGTGCTAAAATTTTTTATTTTACTTTTTCTAGACAAATATTTTGACTGCCAAGGAACTTTCTCTCAGGGTAAGTTTTTTATTTATTTTTTCATATGACTAAAAAAATGATCTGATTTTGGTTTCTTCAAAACTTTCTAATACAGTACACTCTCGATTATCCGTGTGCGGATTATCCGGTTTGCAGATTATCCGTGCTCATTCCGGAGTCACACAAAAAATATAAAGAGAAACATTTTCAAGATTAAAAAAATTTTATTCATAAAGTTATAACACTACCAAATTTTTGGAACGCAATATTCGTTATTGAATTGCAGTATATGGAACAAATCGTCTACGTTATGGATGATATGGAAAATCGGCTACGTTATCGCGATGATACCGCTTGATGAACAATCCTCTTCAGATGTTCAAGAAAAATATGATGACAGTATTCTCGAACAAGCAAAAGAAATCTAAGGTTTCGAAATTCTTTATGAAGAAAATTTGGAAGATTAGTTTCAAAGTGATGCATGTGAGCCTGGCTTCCAGTATTTGACTGATGAACACATCGTTATGTTGTTAAATCAAATAGTGATGATAGTAACTGATGCCGAAGATGTAGTAAATGAATGAAATACAATTTCTCATTCTGCTGCTCTGTGGAAACTTTATTAGATTATATGGGAGGATTTGATTACGGTGACATTACTGCGGTTCGTAAAATATGTGTATCGATATATAGCGAAGACGCATTACACATTTTTTAATAAGGAAAATTCCTAGTTTGATGTTATGCATGCAAATGTCAGTAATTTTTATATTTTTTGTACTGATATTGAATTTTTCTTTAATAAAAGGAGTTTTCGGATTATCCGTGCTTTTCGATCGTCCGTGCGACCTGTCCCGGTGATTAACCCGGATAATCGGGAGTGCACTGTACTAATGTAATAAATTTAGTAACACTGACCAATAAAAATTAACATCAAAATATCATATCTCTTTTGACTGAATTTTGTAAATGTATCTCCTATTCAAAAGTTTCTATCTCCTCTAATTTTAGGTGATTTTTATCAATAAATAATAAAAAAATTGAATGATGTTTAGGATTTCTTTCTAACATCCCTCTAATATTTTTTAGAGACCACGAGAAATGCTAAGGGCAGTGTTTTACATCTGTTAACTAAGAAATGGTCCGTTTTCAGGTACCATATAACAATATTATTTTTTTTTTTTTTTTCATATTCTCTTCAATAACTATTTTTTATTTATGTTATTGCTGACACTCAAGCTTTTGAGTTTTCTGAGTAATATTTTTTTCCAGTGGAATAAAATAAGAACAAATAGAACTTTTATGAAACTTTCCTTTCAACTAAAATCTACGATTAACTTGTTTAGTTTTATGTAAACAAGTAAATCTATGATTAACTTGTTTAGTTTCTGATAAACAACAAAAGGTTTTTTTTCACTTTTATTAGCATTAAGGAATCAATGAAAAGAATCAACTTAATTTTTATGTCTCTAACATTACTAGCATTAAACTTAAGCTAAAATAGTTATAGTAACATTTTTTTAATTATTGGCTTTATAAATTGATGCAAATTTATTTCTATGAATCCTTTATATTTATACTCCTAATCCTTAAAAATAAGAAAATATAATCTAATTTCTAAAGTAAAGTAATTCAACCTTTTATTGAAATCAAAACTGTCAAGTATCGCTGCAATCTTATTCAACTACAAGTCGTGTATGTGGATTATTATTCTTTTTATTTTTGGTGTTATAAATTGTTGCCCAATGGGAGTGGGTTGATGTTAACTATGTTATCAATTAAGTAAGTAATTAAATGCAACTGAACCTTGATCCATCTTTGTATAATCTTGTTTTCGCTGTTCTGTCACAAATACTATTCTTAAAATGTTAATAATTACCCTTTTAGATCGATTTTGAAAATAGAAAATTCCCGGTTCTACCGTTATTTAAAAAAATATTTCATTTTGAGAAGAAAAACAGTAATTTCTGCTGTTAATGATGAAGAATATAAGTATTTGCTACAGTTTGAATAAAATTCCTCAAAAAGCACATTTGGTGTTTATGCATTGTTTGATGAAAATATTTAAACTTTTGGTATCAATTCAAGAAATGGTTGCAGAAACTGAAGAAATTACTAAGAAATATTGATGAAGACTTTGATGCAGAACCACAACCAGTGTCAACATTTGCAAAAAGTCCCAAAGCCTTTGAAACAATAAGAAATTTTCTGTATTCATGCAAACTTAAAGGAAATGTACAGAAATCTGATAAAAATGTTGCAAAATAAGTGTTTGAGCCATGAAGAAAAGTGTGCATTTGTGTTTATTCATTTTTTTTTTTATCATAAATATTTATGCTTTGTGCACATAATTTTTTCAATTAAAATTTTTTATATTTGTTTTAAATTTTTCTTTTACTCATTTAATATTTTGCATACATTTTCAAGAGATTATTTGAAATTTAGCATATGTCTCATACAGAGTGTGTAGCCAAATTATTCATCAAAAAATAAGCACTTTTGGATCACTCAAAAAATATTTTTACACACTTTAAAAAATATCATAACTAGGCAGGGTTGGAAAGTTTTTGACAATTGACGGTTTTATCTTGTTTTAACCGTCGTCAAAAGAAACCTTTTGGCATTGTTTTTTACAATTGTCAGAAAGTCATGAAATTTTGAATCATGTGAAACAAATGGCGTTTTCATACGCTACGTTGAAAAGAACAATGTGAACTGTATCCTTTTACGTAATTCAAAGCAAAAATCAACATTTTAAAGGAAAAATCTCATTTTGAAAAAGGGAAAATTAAGCACTTTATAAAAGCACCCAATGAAAAAAGCACCTTTAAGGGCTTTTAAAAAACGAAAATCGAAAATAAGCACTTTTTAAAAACGCTACTCTCCCTGTCATATATTCACCCTTATTTGTCTTTTTCCCATATCTATCATTCCTGAGTGGTCTCTTGAAAAATTATCAAATGAGGTCCTATTATATATGATTGTGAACAATTTCTAGTTATATTTTTCTCTTTCTTCAGTCTTTATTGTTTTAATGTAAAAATAAATAGAGATAGGCTTTTTTTTTAAATTGTTATATTCTGCCAAATTTTTTCTTTTTGCGCTAAGCAAAAGCGCATTTTTGAGCATTAAGTATCAAGACAAAAAACTCATATTTTCTGGTATACCCAAAACATGCTAAAATTCGAAATATTTTAAAGCACGTTTTGAAGCAATGTGTACCAGAACATAAACTTTAAATAGTGACCAACGTCCTAGGACATCATTAAAAATCTAATCAAAAATGTCATAAGATACCAAGTAAACACCGTTCAAAATTTTGCTGGAAATTCCCAAAATGTCTGATTTGGTGTGTAAGCGGTACCAAATGTAGAGGGGGGGAAAAAAACAAAATTAATATATTTGATACAATCTGAATGTTACTTAATTTATTTGCATAAAAAAATTAAGGTCATTTTCAATTTTAAAAAAACGATTTAGTCTACTAATTTAATAAATTAAAGGTTTAGTTACTAATTTTTAGGTGTTATCCCATACAATCAGCATAGAAATTTGCTTTAATGCTTTAAATAGAGTGATCATTACTTATGCTCATATGAATTTAGTGGAGATTATTTCTCTGATGAGAGTTAACCCTTTGCGTTATAATTCTTTTTTAAACTTTAGATATATATAACACAATATGTTTTGATTTTATGTAAAAATTATATTTTATAATTCTCCATTGTGTGGTATCTTTCAAAGCAGTCTCCAATATGAAGCCCTGGTTTTCGATAACTTGTGTCGCAAAAATAATTAGTTTGGCGTCATCCGCCTTTAATTTTTCTGTTTGAACTTACAAAACAATCTTTACATATTCACAGTGCCGCAATATATGTAGTTTGCTGTGGTGGCTGAGAGCAAACATACGACTGGAACAGTAAAAAAGCATTGGTGGCTGAAAGTAGACATACGACCGCAAAGTGGTTGAATTGAGTGGAATTATTTTTAATACATAAGAGTCAAACCTACTTCTAGTAAATATACTATTCCAGTGTTTGCACTTGCAAAATATTTGCCACAATGGTCTTATTATTTTCCTGGCCATGGCTACAATCTTGCAGAATATGAAATTCTTTATAGGGTTAGATAACTGGTCACCTATATTCAGACTTTAATCAGAACCAATTTATGTGTGACATCTCTTATCAAGATTTCAAATGACTATAATTTTGATTATGTTTTGTTTCTTTTTCAGCATAAAAGGGCTTATTATGCAAAGCAGAGTAAACGTTACTCATGAACATATGAATTGGATGGGGATGAAGACTGTTTCACGGATGAGAGTGAAATTCAATCAGATTATTTTGGATGTATAAGAGTCAAGCCTACTCATAGAAAATACATATTCCATTGTTTGCATTTCCGAAATATTTGCCTTAATAGTCTTGTCATATTTCCTGATGTAGCTGCAATCTTGCAAAATACAGAATTCCTTATGGGGTTCGATAACTAGCCACCTATATTCAGACTTAAATCATAAACTTATATGAGATTAAAATTATTTTGTTTTCCAGCATAAAATTACTTGTCATGAAATCAAATTTAAAAAACTATATGATATTATTAGATTTCCGATTAAATCCATGGATCTTGAACTTCATCGAAATTGTTTCATCTATTTTGAATGGTAACATTAGTCTAAGTTGACTATTTTAGTACCACAACTGTGAAAATGCCTAGGACTTATCATATCTGTGACCCAGGATTATATACTTGATAGAGTGTCAGAAGTCATAAGAGAATGATGAAGTACGAAATATTGTTAAAAATTCATTTCTAAAAAGTATATTTTATTGAATAAAAAATTATATTTAATGAATTTGTTACTTATTTAATTTTCAACTTAAATGCTTATTTCTAAGTACTAGTAGGTTCTTTTTAAATTGGTATAAAAAAAATTGAAAATATCATAAATTATGAATCAAAAAACAAGATTGCTTGAATTGAGAAAAATATACATTTCAGCTAAGATTGTGATGTAAGTATTGCATTAATTAATAACTTTTAAAAGTTTTCTACTTTAATTTAAAAAATAAATTTAAATGTAACAATTAAAATAACTCTCTTAAGCATTTGAATCTAAAATAATTTTATGCATCAATGTTTTAATGTGATGCATATTTATTTTACATTTGCTCTTGAACTTTAAATACTAATTAATGCAATTTTTCAACAAGTATTTTTTAAAAAATAACATTTATGTAAGTTTGAACAAAGTGGAATTTCGATAAGTGCCTGAATGCACTATTAAACGTGTTTGGAAATGGATTGTATTGTTCATGGTGCGTAGCGTTTTTAAAAAGTGCTTAAAGGTGCTTATTTACTTTTTTTACGTTTTTTAAAAGCCCTGGAAGGTGCTTTTTATATTGGGTGTTTTTAAAAAGTGCTTAATTCTCGCTTTTCGAAAATGAGATTTTTTTTCCTTTTACTATGTCGATTTTCGCCACGTATTATGCAAAAACGTGGTTTTCACGTAGTTCTATTCGACGTTTTCAGAATTCATTCAAATACAGTGCACTTTGGTGTACCGTCGGTCCGTAGCGTATGAAAGCGCCAATCATTTCACATGTTTGATGAAGTACTTTCTACACCATGTGCCTCTACTGAGCCGAGTTGGGTGAGATTGTAGCACTCCAACGTGCAACTCAACTGCATTCTGCAAGATATTCTCAAATTCACGCTTTCTCTGAAATCGAACCGAAAAATCTCTCGATTTCTTTATGGTGACTAATATAATCAAGAAAGGAGTTCTTTGTCAGAAACTAGTTATTTTAGCATGATCATGTGAAGTCTTTGAAAGCTATTTTGCAATTTGTTAATGTACATAGTGCTTTGAAATATTTTTAAAAGCTTAAAAAGCGCTTAAAAGGTGCTTATTTTTTGTTGAAAGATTTGGCACCGCTACTTGATTATCGAAACTTTGACTTATAAAAATTTATTGTTCATTGCGGAAAAAAATATTATATGTTAAAAGTAAATATTTTCCTTGGAAGAAACGGCTTTTTCAAAACATTTAATTAAATACAAATGTCAATAAAAAAAAATTCTTTTTTACTAAATAATAAAAAATGTAGTTAATAAGAGGGGGGAATAAAACCTTGAATTTATTCATTTTTAATTGAATTCAACCTGTTATAAAAGATCACATCTACAGAGGTGATTAATCAAAGGGTTGACCTCGACTGTGCTAATGAACTATTAAGGTATGAAATCGGGCACAAAAGTGTAATTTCTTTGAATAAATATACCCTTTTTTCGACGAATTCAAATTCTTTATTATCAAAATATAAGGGTAGATAACATTGTCCCAACAGTTTAACCGAAAGAACGGTCGACGAGAGTTACTGAAATTTTACTCTTTGCGTACATCGGGAAATTAAGTGAATCGTAAACTTTATGAAACACCGTTGCAGTGCGGAGGCGCACGCTCCAAATAAATAATGCTGGGTTACAATTAAAAAAGATTTTCATTATAAAATATTTTTTTAATTCACTTTACAAATAATAATATCCTTTAACTAAGCTTAAAGATAATTATTGTAAGATTAGTAAGCTACTTTCTCGTATTTAGATATAAATTTCATTTCAGTCGCTAACTGTACACAATATTTCAATTCAATACCTTTTCTAAATTCCGACTTTCCATCGCAATTACAATTAAAATAAAATTAGTGATCATAAATATCCTAATGTCTTTTCACCATAGTGTTATTGTTCCATATTATAATTTTTATGCTAAGTTTAAGTTAGGGACCACCTAAGTCTGTGTACGCCATTGGATATTAAAAAATGAGTGACCGTCTTTATTGTAACATATTTCGATACAAAATGTAAATTTTTTGACGTCATCAGAAAAAAATAGTCTCAAAAAACTATTTCCAGAAAACTCAATTTCTAGAAGCCTAAGTTATTTTATTCTTCATTAAACTATTCGCAAACATCAACTCACCTTATAAATTTGTTGCACGGATTCGAGAATATACGGCCATTTATAATCGCCTCATCACCTAATATGTACCTATTAATTTTAAATATTTCCCTGGGTCAGAAGGTGATCGCCCATTGGCGACTTATAACAGAAAATACGATATGACAGGTCATTTCGCCAACATCCAACCATTTCCTATCCTTTTACTTGTCGATGGATAGTTGTCGTTACGGAAAGCGTAGGGAGCTCACTAAGATGGCCGGAGATTATTTTTAATGTGACGACGTCCGAATGTTTGTGGACCGATGTGGTTAACTTGTTGAAGGTATAACTTTGACGCGGTTTGTCCTATGGCTTTGCACGCTTTAGGAGTGGGGGGGGGTAAAGGCAAATGGTGATTTGTGAGTGAAATAATGCTTTTAATTTATTCCTGCTTGACTTGTGTTCCTGCTACGGCTAGGGAAGTATTAATGAAATTTGTAGTATTTCCCACCTTTCACGAGTTAAGAAAACTTATAGAACATCCTTTAAGTAGATTTTTTTTTTTTGTAGACCTGAAAATAACCACTCGACCACCAGCAAAAAAAAAAAAAACAGGGTGGCTTAATTTAAATTGTATATATAGTTTTATAATGAAGTACATCAATTCAGAAAGACTCGGGGAAAACCGAATTTTTAGTAAAATGGTTCAATGTCTCCATTCAAAATTTTGATCTTACAGAATCCATCACTTTGTGATGGATTCAGGTATTTCAAGGTTGTATACAAATGTATTTTGCTTTCCCAAAAATTTTCAAATAAAGCTCTTTTTAAGTCAGTATATTAAACTAAATTTTGTCACATATTTATATTATTTTTGAATTAACTTTTTATAGCCGTAGATTATTTCTAATATGAATTTGTTTTAAAATATATAATTCAATCCAGGCAAAAAAAAGTTTGCAAAAAGTGGCTATTAAATGAAAGGACCTATCGATATCGGTCACTTAACTCATTAGGTTTGAGGGAAAAGTGGCTACTAAGTTATTAGAGTTATAAGTTACCAGCTGCTTATTGAAAATTTAAATTTGCAGGCCTAATTTTGTAACCATATAGATTATAAGACTATATTGTGTAAGTTTGATTTATTTTATATTTATTCAAAACTGTCGATTCACTAATGATTTAGGCGGAAGAAAAAACATGTAATTAAGAGTGGTCATTGCTGAACACCATGTATATATTTCTTAAAATCAAGTTTTTTAATGAACCAATTCTAAATCATTTGAATACTATCAATGAGATTAAATCCCTTGTAATTATATCGTTTATGAAACGGATTGAATATTTGCAGATGCAACTATTTAAAGATGTGTGCTTACGGACGACAGAGAAGAACAAAATTTTATAACTCAACTGCAGCTAAAAGAAAAAAGGTTTTTATACCTAATTAAAGTTTATAATGTAAAGGCTTTAATATCAATAGAAACTAATTTTTGCAATTTCCTAAGAACTTTTGGATACAAATTAAACAGGATGTGCGTACCTCTGCTTGCCCAGAAGACTATATTATACAGATTTAACGTTGCGCCCTTCAAATACACGAATGTAGAGTGATCAAAGAAAAAAATATTCTAAATATCTTTAGCGTTGGCAATGGGGTTTTACGTATTAATTATCAACGTTAATGGTTCAAATGGTTGACCACAATATAAGCTAATTAATTGGTTCTAACTACGAACTTACGAAATCGGGTAGAAAAATGTATTCTCTCTGAATAAACAATTTTTTTCTACAGATTTGGATTTTTGACCATCAAAATACAGGGATAACTAGCCTAATTTGGAAACTATGATCCCAAAAGTAAGCCAGAAGAGCGGTTAAAAGTTTGAACCCCTTAATCTTTTTTTTTTATTCAATAGTTCAAATTTTTTGCTAAGTTTTTGAGTGACTTAAAAAACTATAAAACACTATTTATTAGAAATTTAAAAAACTTGTTTACCCAAAGATACCCACAAAAAAATAATTTGCAATGAATAATGGCCAAACAATTTTTGAATTGTAAGGTATGCAAATGTTTAAGTTATTGCTAAATCACGAAATAAAATATTTGAATATAATCATTTAAAAATTTTATAACTTAGAAATTATCTTTAAACTTAGTAATTTAAAATTGCTTAGCTTAACAAGATGTAAAAATTCACATACCTCCATTTAAATTTTTCTGTCATTATTAAATATCTTTTACAAGTAATTATTTTAAATTATACGAGTTTTATAACTCTCTCTCTCCAGAATGTGTGTGACAAAATCCATATTCATTCAAAAAAATATATATATTGGTTTATTTCAGAGAGTACGTATTAATTATAATATTCGAAGTCAACTCCTTGAACCACTAAATTGAAATTTTAGTGTAAAAAAAAAAATCGGATCATTAAACTGAAGTTTTTCTTTTCTTTGGTTCACTGTACAAAGAGGGTACAGCTCATTAACATTAAAGGTAGCTCATTATACTAAGCAAGCTTTCTACAGAACTGAACTTGCCTTGTTAGTCATTTACTCAAAATTAAAACATTACTGTAGAACAAAATATATTTGCATACAACCAATACCCTTTATGGAAATAGGTTTAAATATTTTACTTGTCCTCGGTATAGGAGATATTTTAATCTTGTGAAAGCAAAATTGTTAGCTCTACTTTAAGTTCTCAATTACCCAAATGAAAGAGAAAATTTCTAAAAAATATTTATGTACTAAAATTTATGAAATTTGCGAATGTCACTGTGCCTTCCTAAGATTAGTAGAAATTTTTTTAACCCATTTAGTTGCCAGAGATTTTTAAAAAATTTAGATTATTTTTAGCCCTAACGGATAACTGCCTTTCCGCATATTGACAGTATTACTGGGTCTAAAGCTCCCATAAAAATCTAAATGTTTAAACAACAGCATACACATAGCAATAAGTAATTACCATTATTAGTAATACTTCCAAACTGTTAAAAATTTATAAAATATATATTTATATAATTATTTAAAACATTTCATATTCAGATTTTAAAAAGTGTTCATGTCAAAAATTATTAACTACAAAGAGAACTAGTATTTAGAAATTTTTAAGTTTGTTAAAATACCTACACTCAACCAGTGAGAATATCATTTTAAAAAATTATCAGTAGTTTCTAAAATACACAAGCAGCCAAATTAGAAAGTCTTAATTTAAAGTAAAGGAAAATGAATGTTTCAGTTACATGTTCAAAATCACTTAGAAAAACTATAAATTAATTTTATGAATTTAAAATTTATGCACGTTAATGGTTAATAAATATTTTATTTAAATAATATGAGAAAGTTTTTTTTTTTTTCAAAACCATTTTTTTTATATATGTTTATAAAGTGGCATTAATATTTGGCCAGATAAATGAATGTCAATACAGTCGTCTAAACCAAATTTAAAAAAGATACTGAAAACTTAAACACATTGAGATTTTTACATTTATTAACATAAATTTATTACTATATAGATAAAGAATACAGCAACTTAGTACGTTATTAAAATATTAAAACTTTTACACATCTTGGCACAGTTTCATCCATTCAATTGCGCATTTCTAATAAACAAAAATAAATACATTTCAATTAAAACAAGAAATCTACAAAGGAACGAAATAAAACCATGCTCAGCTGGAGGAGAATTTCACATACGAGGAAAACAGCCATAAAAAATATTGGATAACCAATTTTAATTCAAATATTTATATACAACTTCCTAAAAAATATAAGCTATACATAAAACAGTTTCATAATGTGCGAGTTTATTTAAATAACACTTATATTAATATTGCTTAGCAAATGACAAATTTCAATGTACAATATAAGCACAAATGTAATATGCTGTGCTGCTTAATTTGAGTCTTAAAATTCTGAGCCTCTGTTACAAATTAATATTTAACATTATTGCATAGTTTAGTTCAGCTCAAAGTGCTATGCTAAGCATGGTATGAAAAAAACTTAATTTTTATCCTTTAGAAATTGACCAAAAGAATAAATTTGAGGCATTGGAAAGTATAATAAAAATTAACTTTTAAAATCAACAATCAGTTATTAAGTATACAAATAAAATAAGTATAAGTATATACAAAAATATTTAAAAAAAAAAAAGATATTTACTTAAGTTAAAAATAATTATCAAAAAATTTTATTAAATGTCTGGCGTGACAATGTCAGTATGAAAATTGAAAAATTAATAATAAAACACGTTAAATAAGAATAAAAAGTTAAATTTTTTATAACAAAAATTTAAGATGATTTGTAAGTAATACTTATGGAATTTACTTGTGATACTTATGGAATATTACTAAAATTGCCTCATAGTTACAAACATTAGTAAATATAAGTTTTCACTATTAATTCTAGACTAGAAAGAAGTAAGGTTCTGATTTATGATAAAACTTATTGAATCGTTCATGGCATTAAAAAAAAAATTAATAAAAATAGAAAAGTTTTTAAAACAAGCATTTGCATGGGGATCATAATTCGGCAATGCAAGACTTCTTGCACAATGGTAGTCTTGCATAGTCTCATTAAAATGTTTACACTTAGATTATAATTACACTCAGTTGAAAATTTATCAATGTAGTTTTAAGTTTTTAATTCAGTCAATTAAATGAATATATAGATTGTTTTGAATAGTTTCAATTATACCAATCATTATCTGGCAAGTAAACAAAGTTTTATATTATATCTGTTTTGGATGATAAACATAATTGGCAATAATAAAACAAGGGTGCATCCTGAGTAAAAGCAATAAGGACTAGATATTTAACTAGAACATTCTAAAAAAATGTGGCATTAAATATACATTGCAATATTTGTCATAAATGATAAGTTTTAAAAGCAACAAATTTATTATATTTTGTAAATGAAATTTATCGAAGCATTTTAAACTACATTACAGTGCTGATAAATTCTTCTAAAATAATTTAACGCATATATTTAATAATTTTAATGAGATAAATAAATTGGCACGGCAATTTACCTAGATTAATTTTAAGCTATTTAACACAAACATGTATGCAACCTAAAAGGGCAATTCATCAGACATGTTTTAAAATATTTACAATAAATAAAAGTATAAAAAGAAAATGTTTGTTGGTATGTACTCTAGGTTCATAATTCGTGTAGTATTGAAATATTTAATAGGAAGGAAGATTACATCAAATTTAACATAATACTTCTACAATAAATAAAATAGTAGATTCAAGGCTTCCTCTTAACTTAATTCTACCTCCACAACTGGACAGAATATATAAAAGAAATGCTACTCTTGGTATATAAAACAACGTACTTAAAAAGCATTTTACACTAAAATAGTTCAATACCATATTCAAAAATAGAAAAACAGCAAATTAATCAGAACAAATATGCTGATGAATCATAAAATTTTAATACTAGACTATAATAATCTTATTAATGAATAGAGACAGCTATTTACAGTTTTTAAGATTATGAAAAATATTTGCTATCAACATTCAATTTTTTACTTTTTTTAGTCATAAAAATAGGTCATTTACGACACATTTCATTAAGTTAAGTAAATGACACATTAGAACAGTTAGTTTGCACACAAGAATTCTATTGCAATTATCAATGCAAAAATGTATTAACAGAATTAGATTTTTAAGTTATTGAGGGAAAAAAAGAGATACTAATAAGGCATACTTTGGTATTATTGACCGACATTTCACATTTGGAAGAACAGAAATTATTTCATAAACAAATATTTAAATGCATTAAGGATATTCCAAGTTATTACTTTAAAAAAGTTTACAGCAATTAAAGAAACTACTAATTGTTTTTTAAAGCAAAAACTACCACTCCGTACAAGACTACTTTGGGAAGGAGTGATATACTAAGATGTGCACTTTGTGAAGTTTTATGGCACATAAGCGCAGCGCTCATCATTCTAAATAATAATTTATTTTTTTCCTAATCGCACCCTTAATTGGATTAAATAGAAGCATATCGGGTACATGCACAAATGTGCGGAAGGTCCATCGGATATGAAAATATACAGTATATTTTAGTTTTTAATTTTTACATTTCTGTCCCTTCTGAAATTATTTGAGGGATTTAATTTTTACAGCACCAGCAATAAAATAAGATTTTTGTTCACCTTAAAAGTGTTCCTAAAAATATATCTCAAACATCCATTTTTTTTTTCTTTATTATTATTATTTTTTTAAAAAAACGACTTTAGGCTGTATTGCACATAGTCTTAATTTTAATGAAATTGCACATCTAACACTTCCGTTTTTAAAATTAACACTAACAGGACATTTAAATATTAAGTGCAAATCGAAAATTTTAAAAACTTATTTAAGAAAGGTAATTCCTTAAAAAATATAAGAAAATAGACAATAAAAAGAAACCTCAACTCTTCTAAGATATAACAAAGTCATTTTGCCTTCAAAATAAATTTTTTACACAACATTTTATGTTTTTATATATAAACAGGAAACAAATTTTTAAAAAATTGAGCGATCTCTAAATAGTGAGCTAAGAATGTAGATATCAATCTTGAAAGCATGTTTTGATTAACAAGTACGGTAATACTGACAAAGTCAACTAATAAATATAATTCAGTTTTACCAATTTTGGGCTTAAAATTTGGTTCAGTTCAATTCAATTATTTAAATGACCGATTACACCCTATTTGGAAACAACTTAAAATAGCAATTTTGTGTGGGACAAAGCCAGGTTCTTGAGTTAATCTTTTCTTTTTTACATAAAGCAGCTATGAGAATAAAACTGCTTCATTTTTATTTGAATGATAAATTGGATATCTAAGTCCAGAAATAAATAATACCGATTTAATGTAAAAAGAAAGCTATATTTTGAAGAATAAATTAGTCATTATTTGGAGACAGTCTAGTTCCCAGTTTGAACAAACTTGTTGAATGTAACTAAGCATATATTAAAATAATGGGAGAACTGTAAAGATCTACCATTATTGGATTTCAAAAATTTAAGAACATAAGTAAATTTTAACATTTAGTGAATTAATCAGGTTTAAGAACAAAAATCATAAATAAAACTTTGATCAATCTTCATCTGCCCAACTTTCACACATGTATAGAAATCATCCTAGATTTTGACTTGGCATTGCCAGTAACTTTGCCTTCTGTGCTACTCTATTTTGTCTTACAAAAACAGGTCCCAATTTCATCTGACTACGTCATTTAAAATGCTTTTTGAAAATGGAAAAATTTTGTGATGCCAAATCTGCTCTAATATTAATAAATAATAGCTAAAAGAAGTGTAATAAGATATTTAACTTAAGGAAATGGAATTTTGGGCAGTAAAACACAGTCAAGTCAAATTTTTCAGAACATTGTGAAACAAATGGCTTACACTGTTCTCTTAAATAATATGGTCTGCAAATAGCTTTATGCAATTTAGAATAAATGATATCGATAGTTTAGTAAAAAAATGTCGGATCCCAGTTATATCACATTTCCCACGTGTGATAAAATTATTTTACTGCTATTGAAATGGGGTTTTTTTAAGATCATATTCCTGATGCTGTGTTGTTAAAATAATTTGAAAGCTACATTAAATACTTTGACAATAAATTGCAACAAACTAACTGTACATAAACCATCTTATCTATTTACAAACACTCAACACTTTACAAAATGTACATATAAAAATGCTCTTTAAAAATTTAAAAAAATAAATAACACAAACATCACAACAGAAATCACTTCAACTGCTTACAAAATCAAAAATAATCATTTAAGTGGCAAAAACTATATACACATGACTACAGCTGCTCACATAGCAACTAAAATCTTAAATAATACTAATAAAATAAAAATTCAAAATTTAATGATTCAAAGCAAAAATAATAGCAACATATTTTATCAGCATTTTGTTAACATTTATTTATCAAAATATTAACAAAAATGTACATGGTACAAATAAAATAACTTGTTTCAAATCCCCCAAACATAAAATGTACATGGCGAAAAATAAAGAAATTTGTGATAAACATAACCGATTTTGAATGCAATTAGAATAGTAAAGTAGGCAAATTCTAAAAAAAATAATTTTGTATCAAAAGTCACTGATAGAAAATTTAGCATATTTATCAACTGAAACAGTAAAATAATTTTTTTAGGAGAAAGATTTTGAAACTGCATATACTGCTGATTATGTACACTAATTGTTTTCTTTTATGTTTTGCACAATATGCCATGTCTTATGGGACTTTAAAATTAGGTTATTTTCATTGCACCCTGCAATTAGAAGAATAAAATATTTAAAGTATAAAAAAATTCAACAAAAACACTGTTCTACAAAAAAAAGTAAAAAGCATTAAAACAATTTTACTCATTATAAAATTCGAAAAATCGTGACAACAAATAATTCCATTAAGTCAGTCAATATTATTAGCACTATAATGAGCAATTATATAGTTATGCTTATATAGCCTTGCTAAAACATATTTTAAAAAGCAGCAACAATATGAAAGCTTAAGTCCAAGTTATAAGTTGTTAAGTAATGATTACACAATATGAAGAAAAAAAAGCTGAAGATAACACTAATTTGATTATCAAAATGAAAGAGATTCCAACAAGAGCATTTTAACAAAATGATAAAGGTGGGGGAAAGCATGAGAATATGGTTTAAACAAATTTAATTAAATCCCAAAACCACTAAAATCAGTAAAATGAATCAATATATCTCAATCTAGATTTTTACATCTCTGAATCCAAAACACTCAAACTAATAAAAGAAAATATATGTTAGCAGCAGTCTTCTGAAATATTTGAAATTAAAATAAGCAAAATTCAAGTACTGTCCATTATATTGAAATTATGTATCGTTCCCTTCTAAAAATTAAGAGAATAAGTCCTCAGTATTTCTCTAAGGTCATCAATATTTTAATAAATCAGCAACAAGAAATCAAATGCAACCAAGAAATGAGAAAGAGCAACTAACTTTGTTAGGCATGCTAATATTTAAAAGATTTATATAAGTACTTATCTAAAGAATTAAACTGAATAAAGCAAAAGTATTTTAATTAACATTTAGATAAATTAATCTATTCATCAATCTATTTAACATTCATCAATATTTTAATACAAGTTAACAGAATGTCAATATTTTAAAATTTGGAACAGACACTAGCATATTTTAAATAAATTATGCATGCATGCATATACTAAAGAAAATTGCTTTAAGAAAATTAGCTCAATAGAAAATTCTTTGTTTTCTAATCATAATTAATATTTTCAATTGAGCACATTACTTATTAAAAATCATACAACTGACCTGTAACAAACAAGATAAAGCTGATAAGAAAAATGCCCGAATGAAAAAAGTAACACATTTTTCCAAAGTTGAACAAAAATCTACAGGCAACCAAAAAATATAAATTGTATATTTCTGACATAAATGTGTTTGATTAGATTTCACTTTGGGAACATTATTTGACTGTACAAGACTTCCATTACAGCAATCATATAAACATATTTGGATGTACAAATTTATCAATGTAGTAAAGTTACAGCCCAGTCAGAAAGATAAGTTCTTGATACATAAACGTATCCATAGAAATTCTAAAACAATAAAGTAAATAGAATTAGGTAACGAAAAAAAAGTGCATTGAAAACATGTACAGCAAAAACTAGACTATCTGAAATGCGTGTGAATTGATAAATCCGGATAATTGAGCATTAAGATATTTGAGCAATTTTTAATATTCCCTTTTTTGGAAAAAAAATTTTATTTTATGTATTAGAAAAAACTATAGTCCTCCATGAAATTACGAAAGATAGATAAGTAAAAAAACTGAGGGGTAGCAAAACTAAAATTTAACTTGGACCATCATATAGTAAATTATTATTGAACAAGCAATCAATGAAAAAGATTGAAATGTTGTTTTGTATTTTTGTGTTTTGGTCGAATAGCATATATGTCTTCAAAATTATGAACATTACACATTATTTGTATTACAATTTTCCATTAAATTATAGTTACAATAAGGTGAATTTTAAAATTCACTTTACTAACTTTTTATATAAAAAAACATAATAAAGACATACTTTAAGGCTAGGGAAAATGAGTATGAACTAGTAAAATCTACTAGTTACTGGTTAAGCCTTAGGAACTAGTGATTGCATTTTCTTAAGCTCTATCGTTTTTCTGAACTGAATGCATTTATAATAGAGTGAAATTAAAGGAGAGGGCATTTATCAGGAATTGATAGGTATTTTACAGTGCATTCTTGAACATTCCAATTTATCTTTAGTTAAAAAAGATAAATTTCAGATAGTTAAGCCTTTACTGTATAAACAGTATCAGAATTTTCTGTCAAGAAACATACTAAGTCATTAAATATAAAAATATTTAGAAACATAAAACAATAGTTTAAATAAGTCAAAATTTTAAGAAGTTATTTGTTATTTATTGACTTTCCGTGCCACTGATAAATTTTTGCTGGTCTATGCTCTAGCATATGCACTCAGGGGTCTGTCCAGACCGAATTTACTACCGTTTAGCGGTACCTTCACAAATTCAATTTTAGGAAAAACGGTAGTTTCACAAATTCAACTTTAGGAAAAATGGTAGTTTCACAAAATACATTTTCTTAAAATTTTTTTTTTTTATCCCTTAAGAAACGATAAATCCATATTTTTTAATATAATTTTTAATTGTTCACAAATTATGTCAACATTTTCACAAAATAGGTACCTCTCAGAAAAACCTAGACAGACCCCTGACACTGCAGTTTATACTTCCATACTCTATGCTGATTATAAAAATGCCACAAAATATAAATATAAAGAAAAACCACAGATTTGAAAAAGCACTCATGTTTAAATCATTAAAGATAATATAATACTAAATTGGTCAAGCTGGAAAAAAAAAAAATTTTGAAAAATTTTTCATTTATTATAATTCATTTATGAAGCTTAATTTATTAGTTTCTTTAAGTGATTAAAAAAAATAGTCAAGTTCGTGAGGTAAAAATTTACTAGTTTCTTATAAATTTAAAGCTTTTAATCATACTTCATTTATTTAATACATTTTAATATTTGCCTTAGCCTCAATTGAGAAACTGAATATAGTGTAAAAATCTTACTATAAATCAAACATCAGCAGAGTATAAGCCAGCATATCATTTTAGTATATATCATCAAATAGTACAATTAAAATTGTTAGATTATCAGCTGATAAGTTATTTTGCAGAAAAACATTTCACGTGCATACATTTTTCTAGTTTTACTCTTTTTTTAAAAAAAAAATCTATGATTAATCTTATTAAAAAATTTTAAAATCTTTTCTTTATTTAGCAAATTAACTTCTTTTTAAAACTTTAAAAAGTCACCTATTTAAGTTATAAAAATTATGAGAAAAAAAAACTACTTAATCCTCTGAATGTTTTAGTTTTGGATATTTCAAAACTTTATAACTGCAAGATTTTTCTAGATCAAATATTTAGTTTTCCCCATGTTATTAAATAGGAAAATAGACCAATTTCAATTTTGCCAAAAGGCACTTGGAAAATAAACATATCAAAGAAAGCACATTTTGCATTTCGCACTGCACTTAGCGTATATCAATAAAGAAAATTAACTTACCTGATTTCTCTTAGCTGATTTATTAATTCTATAACAGGTACAGAGAACTACCTCTGAAAAATTGAAATATTATATTATTGATTATTATATTATTGAAATATTATGTAAACTAAAAAAATTAATTAATAGAAGAATGCACGGACATGCAAAATTAAATACAAACATTTCATACATTTGAATTGTGTGGATTTCTGTGCTCTTTTCTAACAGGAATTGCTGGGGATCTTGGCAATTCAGATTCATCATTTTGAGTATTAACAGGTAGCACAATTTCTTCTACTTGCATTGGTGAAGTTTGTAGATCATTATTTTGGTGTGGTGACACTCTTCGGGGACTAAAAAAATAAATAAAGATATCATTGCACTTAATCAATATTACATTTTAACCTTCACACAGTGAAATAAATTTTTTTTTTTAATCGGCTTTCTGTGATTCAGTGATTGAGGTGGTTTGTTAAGACCAGGAAGAAATATTTATTTCTCACACATTTATAACTCTAATTTCAAGTAATATCCACAAAAAATGTTTGAGCTGCAAACTAATGCTGTAATCAAAGGCAAATTCAAAGATTAAATCCAAGGAGTTCAAAATTTTCAAGACCATATTTTTAATGCCATGTGAAATATTAAAAAAAATAAATATTGCACTATTTAGGAAAGAAAAAATTTTAATATAAAATTTAAACTAGGTTTTACTCTTACAATTTATTAACTACAAAACTAAAATTAAATAAAGCAAAAATAAATAAATAAAAGCACAACTAAACTTTTGAGTTTAAAAACAGTTATTATGAAGAACTTGAAGAGTATATATTTTGCACAAGATATTTTTTCCAAAGTCTACCAATGTTATATTTTGAAATTTGAATACAAAAGAAAAATCTAAGAAGGCATATCATGCAAAAAAAAATAAAAATAATATAATAAATAAATCATAAAGTTTACTTGCAATGTATTCAACAAATATTTCATATAGATAGAGATTTGTGAAATAATTTGCAGTTATTTATGTCCTCTAATTCTTGCATTTCAACTTTTTTTTTCTCTTTTAAAGCTTTTCTCAAACTATTAGACTGCCATAGTTTGTTTCTCTGCTTGGACAGCAAATTTATCAGCAGGTATTAAATTTCTGCAGCGTTATAGATATTTTCTCTTTCTGTTAAATTCATTTACAATGCTATGGTAATCAACCTTCTTTTTTTGTTTGGCTTAATCGACATTTATCTCAAGAAAATTGACTAAAAAGATGAAAATAAATAAAATTCCCTGTTGTTTTTTTTTCCGAATTTGTAAAGAAAAATTCAAAATTCCCTGAAATTTTGCTTTTATTTTATACGAGTTTTAAATTTCCTGTATCTTTCAGGTTTTCCCTGTTCTCCCACCCGGTACTTTTTAGATGCTTTCCTGTACTGTGTACAGTGTGCAATATATTAATAACAGTTGAAGTAATGACCAAATCTAACCATGAAAATGAAATCTCTCTGATTAGATAGACTTACTTCAACTATGCTAACTAATTAATGCGGATGTTATTTCAAGTTAACAAAATCAAAGTAAAAAATTTTAAATAACTGCTTATTTATTGTCATTTCCAAAGAGAGGGTGATTGCCTGGGCGATTTCTCCCCTAAATAGGGCGATAATTCTCAGGGACTGATGAGTATCAAGAAGAAAATAAATGAAAACAATAAAAAACTAGTGAAGATCAAAATCCAAAATGTAAGTAAAATCAATTGTTCAGAGTTCAAAGAATTAAGAATTTTAAAAAATAGCAAAATAAATAAAAAAAATTAAAGTTTCTGAATTTTCTTGTCATACTTAGGTTAAACAAAGATCTGCCTTCCAGATCTCTCAGAACAAAGAAATAGATTGAACATTTTCGGACCTATGACAAACATGCATCCTTTAGCTGAAAGTACAAGGAAGTTTTTCCAAAGATGAACCATAGGTTGATGAACCAAAGATGAACTATAGGTTTTTTGAACGGTAAAATAAAGTGAGAAAGAAGAGCAATAGATTTCACTCAACATTAAGTAGATGTAGTTTGATTTGTACATAGTTTACTTAGTTAGATATGTGGCATCGAGGGGACAATAGGCTAAAAAGTTTGGGAACCACTGGTCTAGATCCTCATAATATGTCTGAAGCTGCAATTTAAAAACTATGATCTCAACAGTTGAGTTAGAAGAACTGTTCAAAGTTTAGACCCCTTAAAGTTAATTCCACTTCCAGCATATTTTGCCATATTACTAGAGCTAATATTTAAGCAAAAAAAAAATTTTTTTTTCAAAAATCATATTGCAAAAATTCCTTGTAAAAAAATCAGAATCATAAATCATTGCATATATGGTATAGTATCATACAAAAATACCTATTATGAAGCAGCCGGCATCATAATACAAAAGATATTCAGCAAAATATCAGTTAAAATATTAAATAATAACATGATAATCAACTAAAAGAATAGATGTAACAGGGTTGCCACAGTAAAAAATGAACAAAAATAGTTGCTTTTAGTGGCCTCAAGCATGAAAATAGTTGCCTAAAACTATGAAAATAGTTCCCTGAACAGGAACAAAAATTTATCAAAAATAGTAGTCAAATAACTAAAATGATAGCTTAATTGTCAAATACTATTATTAAGACTGGGTGATGTCAGAAATTTTAAATCGTGATACATCGTCAGTTAGACATCACGATATACTGATGTATTGCAATTTAGCATGTGTTCAAAAATTACCTAAGGGAAATCTTTAAATCAATCAAAAATAAATAAAAAGGAATGAATCTAGTACAAAAGAAAATATTAATTCTAAACATATTCTACTATGACATCAATATCATTGCCTAATTTTTTCAATTAAATTAATAAAGAAGTCAAAGTAAAAGCAAACCCAAGCCTTATTTCATTTTTTTAAAATTAAAAATGACTTAAGATTTATTGGCTTAAAAATAATAATACTGTAACAAATTATTTTACATACATGCATTACAAATTAAAAGAACGAAAGTGGAAAACAAACCAAAGAAATGTTCACTTTAGGAAAAAAAAAAAAAAATTTATTTGTTGGAGAAAAAAAACATGCTTTTGAAACATCATTAGACCCTTTTTTATTTACTTATTTAAAATAATAAAAAGTAGTACAGTAGGGAACCGATTATCCGGAACGTTCGGGACCATCGCTATTCCGGATAACTGATTTTTCCGGTTTTCTGAATCGCTACAAAAAGCCGTTTTTTTTATTGTTAAACCCAACTAAAAAAAAAAAAAAAATTTGGAAATAATCTTAAAAATAAGAAAAAACGATGAAGTAGTACACTAATGATTATTTCTAAAATGATGGTAAGGTAAACATCTTTAAAAAAAGAAATAAAAATCGTAAAATCTTACGAGTAAAAAAAATTCTTTTTTAAAAAATGGCGAGAAAATTTATCCAATTTCGCTCCGGTTTTTTGGTTTTCCGGTTTTCTGATTTCCGGATAACGGGTTCTGTACTGTATTAACTAATGGTCAAATTCTGTACTTAATACATGTAAAAATAGTTTTACTTATTTATTATTATTTTCATTTTTGAAAATAAAATCGACTAAAGATTTATTTGTTTAAAAATGATACTGACTATCGAGCAAATTATAAAACAAACAAGCATGGAAAGAATTTTAATAAAAATTTTTTTAAAAAATACTTTAAGTACTAATGATAAATTATTAAAAACGTCAAAACATTACTAAACCTTTTATTTAATTAAAAAAAAAATTGTTTTAACTAATAGCCAAATTTTTTAAAACTTTGTTTTCATTTTTTCAAAAATCAAAGCAAATTAAGTAAAGGTAAGCTTTGTTTTAATTTATTTATAATTAAAAACAACTGAGCATTTATTGGTTGAAAAACCATCAAATTATTATACTTAACTACATTTAATAAATTTTAAAAAAACTTTTTATAACAAAGTTAAATACAAAATACCCCTATTGCAGAGATGCCAACTTGCTCCGGACAACAAATATATATTTTAAAGTGGTAGTTTATCAATTGTGAGTCTTGGTTTAATAAATTCAATTTAGTAGATTTTTATCCTCCACTATTTCTGAACAATTCGTAGACTTATATAATTCACCACTTTATAGCACTTACGTCATGCTATACCTTTTAAAAAGCAGGCAAAAATAGTCAAATATTTGCAAAATTTCCTTTGTAGTTATTTACCGTTTTTTTTTTTTTTTTAATTATTCTGGCGTGTCCAGAGCAGTTGGCATCTCTGCTATTAAATTGTATCGCTTAAAATAAAAAACAATAATTGAAAAAAATCAATGATTTGATCTATTGAGTTCAGAACGAAAATTTAAGATAACAGCGATTGTGCGGCAATCGCAAAGTAACAGTAGGTCTACTAAAAATAATTGACAAGAATCTTTAAACCCAGACAGAAAAAAAATGTTATGAAATAATGCAGAACAAAACGATCGCTACAAAAGTCTCACTAAAAATAATTTACAAGAAACCTGACAATTATTTCCGACGAAATAAAATGCACGATCGCAAAATGACTTAAGTCCCATTAAAAATAATCTTCAAAAAATGCAAAATCCGAAAGACAAAAATGGACATAAAGAAACTATCCATTGCGTTCTATGTCACAACGCTGATCCTCGCACGAAACCGGGTGTTCTGATTCAATTCGCTCTCCGTCATTCAACATCACAAAACTAACATCATCTTAGTAGCAAAACGCTATCCACATCTCTGCAGCTAGACGAAATCAAAATCGTCTTCGTTAGTGCGGTAACAGCGATAGCCTAGTGAAGGATCCTTGCATATTAAATCGTTAAACTGTGATTGTAATCTAATTCCGGCGGCTTAAATCAGATTTGTGATGCATCGCCTAAAACGAAAGTCACTACATCGGCCTACTGATATATGCGTTAAATCGATATTTCGCGATACATCGATTTATCGCCCAGTCCTAACTATGCTCCAATTAAAAAAAAGTTTTGTACAAATATAAAAGGTATACATATTAGAAAATAGGTACCTAAATAAAAGTCGAATTAAATAAAATATGAATGTTAATAGAAGGAAAAAACAATTAAAAATAACAAAACTGCCCCTCGGAGAGAACATATAACAAGTACTTTATTAAATTCAATGGAAATTTAAATTTTTGGCTCTTAGGCATAAATGATTGTATTAAAGTTTGCTTTCTTTTATTAACATTCTCAAAAGTAACATTCTTTTTCGCGAAAAAACTTCGCCAAGAGTAAAAAAAAGTCTCCTAATAGTCGCCTATTCCTGAAAATAGTTGCTTTTTTTAGCCTTTTCAGGCAAAAAAAAAGTTGCCATAGTCGCTCGCCTATGGCCGAAAATAGTAGCAAATAGTTGCATTTTAGTAGCCTGTGGCAACCCTGATGTAACAGCCAATCATTTTGCATATAAAAAAAATATTTTGTAATCGTAATCTTTGACGCATAAAGCAATATATGCATTACAATAATAAAATATTAAATAACTTAGACTCATACCTAAATGGACAAATACCAAATTTCATAGGTGATCTTCTCATCTCTTCCAGGACAGAAGGTGCAATGTAAGTAAAACCCTGAAAATGAATTTTAAAAAAATAAACACTTACAAATAAATGAAACATTACATTAGGCCATGAAATAATGATAGTTCCAACTTACATTAAAATATTGATTTTGGCTTTCACTCAAAGTAGTATTGTCAGGACTATCATATGGAGCAATACTAGTAAATTTTGGATCAAATTGGGAAACATCATCTTCACTTATCTGCAAAATAATACTTATTTTCAGAGAATTGAAAAAAATCATAAGCAAGATTGCAAAAATGAAGAAAAAGACAGTGCAGTTATAAAATAAAACAAAAATAGAAATAAAAAAACATGCTAAAAATTAAATTGAAATAAAGTTAGGATGACTATTTTGTTTTCAACAGACTTACTAATAGTATTTTTGTAAAAATGCTGCTTTATTGGGAAATATAAAGTTTCAGTAACATACTAGTATAGAACTAATTCTAAAACACACATTTTTTAAGCATATAAATCTGATATTTTTTGACTTACTTATATATAATAATAAAATTAATAGTCTATTAAACATAGCATAGAATAAATCAAAAAGGTGATGATTACAGATCTCATGCTTGTAATATTCTTATATAATTTACTGGATTTCGTAAAGCAAAAAAAAAAAAAAGAAGAAGAAATTTGAGAACATACGGGTAAATGGGAGATAGTTGTAAAATACGGGAGTTTTTGTTTAAAAAAAAAACAGGAGACTTAGCAGGTATGAAGATGCACATGGAGCACAATTTCTCATTTTATTCACAAAAAATACTAGAAAACTTTAACTTGTAACCTAATAAACACATAATTCACCCAATAAACACATAAGTCACTTTTGAGTATATATTTCTTTTTGTAAATATAGCATTCCGAAAGTGTTTTGTGTTTATTTATGGGTTGGCAAGTTTTTGACACGTGACGGTTTTTACCGGTTTATACCATGGTTTTTACCGTCATGTCAAAAAACCCTCTGTCAAAAACGTCGAAAACTGTCAAAAACCCATAGTTTTGGTAAAACTGTATTTTTGAGTTTAACTGCTTATAATTTAAAATTAATTCATTTTTGGGCAATAAAATTAGAAAAAAAGTTGTTAAAAGATATTTAAGAACAGATTCTTGCATTTTCCCAACATGATTATATCAAAACATACTATTTGAAGTAAAATATTAGGATACTAAACAAAATTTTCAACATTTCCAAGCATCATTTTGTTTGGCATATTACATTACTGAAGAATGTCAAGTCATTCTTGACTTAGAGTTTGTTAGTAGTTACAAGCTTTGAAAGTTTTGTTTAGCTTATTTCTAATATTTAAGAAATGCCAAATTTTAAATTCTTCTTTTTAGTTCTTGAATTTATTAATAGTTCCAAGCTTTTTTGTTTGTTTGTTTATTTCTAACAATTAAGAAGTGCAAAATTTTGAATCCTTTGCAAATCAAGCTATAATGATAAAAGTAAGTATCACTATTTTCAATAAGTATATTACAATATTTCTGTATGAATGTATATCCTTCTATAAGAATACATGTATATAGTTGCAAAATCAATAGCAATCATTTACAACATTCATTTATAAAGGCAATTATGTGAAAATAATATATTGTCCGCTATATGCCATAAATTAAAGAAAACAGTAGGTTTTTGACGGTTTTTACCGGTAAAAACACGGTTTTTACCACTGTCATGTCAAAAACCAGTTTTTGACGGCAAAAACCCAACCCTGGTTTATACGTATGAGTCAGTATTCTAACTTCCTTACCTGCTTGCAGTGTTACCATACTTCTCTGTGTGCAAATCAACCCCCTATTTTTGATTAAGTGATTATTTCTGATACGTCGGGTGTATAAGTCGACTAATGAGAAAAATAAAATAGATAAAAAAAATTTATTTAAAACAATTATTAAGACTGCAAAATTTTTTAAAGTTAAAAGTATTGCACGTTGCTCTCTCTCTCTCTGTATATATATTTGCACTCAAATAAAGATACTAAAATTAGAGAACCAGACACAGATGATGTTCTGATATCTTTACATTTTTAGCTTTACGGTATGATTTAAAAGTTTTCATTGTGTTATATATTCTAAACTATGATTGAATAAATTATCTTAACTTTTCTTATTCTTAATTTTTTCTGAATATAATTTAAAGTGTTTCCAAAAAACCTTTTTTAAGTAATAAAATTTGATGAAAGAAAATGCATAGTTAATTGTATATAATAGGGGTGGCCAACCTGCGGCTCGCGAGCCACATGCGGCTCTTTAAAAAATTACCCGCTATAGTGAACCTTCAAGTGACCGAAATTTTGGTTCACTATAACGGGGAGTTCACTATATCCGTTACGCAGGTGATTTAACTAATGATTCCCAAACTCCTTCCTTTTATTACACATCATTCAAATAAATGACTGAAAGATATGTAGTAGTAAAAAATTTTTTTGTTTTTTTTCATTACTCTTCGTCTTGTGTACAAAAAAAAATTAGCAATCTTTAGCTGATGAGCAATCCTCAACATGTTCAACAACATTATGGAAACACTTTCCGACTCTCAGATAATTTTTCCTGAATTTCTGTTATTCCGGTTCTTAAACCTGTCTAACCTGCCACTCGAGCACATAAAAGTAGTCTCATAAAATGGCTTAGCAAATTCATCGACATTTGTCCAGATACTGGAAGATTGCGGCTTCTTCGATTGGTGAACCACTTCCTTAATGCTTCTTCAACATCCTTGAGATCTGCGTTTCTCAACTTTTTTCTGCCATCTAAATTTTTTTCATGAGCAGAAATTATTAATTGCCTATTTTTCCATACGTTACAAACTGCAGATTTTGATAGTTTATATTCCCTGCAAATATCTGCTTGATTGCACCCATTTTCAATTTTTCTGATTATGCCCATTTTATCATCAATGGAGAACGTTTACGTTTAATGCTCTCCATAGTTAAATTTGAGACACTTGTTTGCAGGATTTTTTTAACTGAACTGAGAGCAAAAATGAGTTGAAATGAGGGCCTCATCAATACATATTATTGCTCAACCCTTTGACCAATAATGAATATTTACTCATTCCCTCCGACAGAAAATGCATATTGATCCTACTGACACCTTACAGGTGTATCGTCTGCCTCTGGGTTGGAAACATCTGCTTGGTTTGTTTAGGGATGAGATATTCACAGAAAAAAGTTCATTATATCCAACTTCCCCACTTTTTTGATTCACTATATCCACAAAAAATAACATTATCCGTGTATAGCAAGGCACGGGATCAAACATTTCGTTCACTATATCCGGGAGTTCACCAAAAACCGTGTTCACTATAGCGGGGTTTGACTGTATTTGTGGCTCTCAATAAATGTACCCGAGTTACCTTTTCATTTTTGTGCTATTATATTTTAAAAAATTATTATCGTTCCTTATGCATTTCAAAATGTCTTTTAAATTACTGAGAACAAATATGAAAGACTAAGTGCAACGTTGTTCAATTCAAGGTGAGTTTTCCATTTCCAATATAATTATGACCCAAAAAGCATCTGGAGAATTAGAATCAATAGAGATGCTTGTCGAATTATTTCAATATTCGAACAACGTACTTATGCGAATCATTTTATTTCACTGTAAAATTCTTAAAATCAAAAAAAAAACAATTAGTATTAACTAACCAGTATCTCAAAGAATTACTGAGAAGTGCTGTCACCAATTATTAAAGAATTATCAAGAGAAGTAAAATAAATGTGTTTAATTTTTAAGATTTAAATTCACTATGCCTATTTTGTACTTTTACTTATATGTTTTCAATAAATATAATTTATGTAAAAAAAAAAATTTATTACCTTTTTTGCATACCTTTTAAATATGTATTTAATTGCTGCTCGCGAAAAATTTCAAATTTTGAAAAATGGCTTGATTATCAAGGTGCCTGGCCACTGTATATAACATTAAAAATACTTAAAATTGGTTAATAGATGCAGAATTATTTATATTTTTCTCATTGTTAATAAGGCATCAATATTAACGAATATCTGACTTTTTTCACAGGTGTATAATTTGATCCCAGATTTTTATAAAATTTTGGGGGCCTGTAAAGTCTACTTATACACCTATACATACAGTATGCCTTGTAATGATAAAAACCTTTACCATTACCTTTAACATTACCTTTGCAATATAATTTCACTTAATAAAGTCATTGAAAGATAAATTGGCATTGAATAATACTCTATCTTTAAAAGTTTGTTAAGTACAAAAAAGGGGAAAAAATCATCGAAAAAATGCAAATAAAAAATTAAACTTAAAATACCAAAATGGAAGGAAATTGGCATTTTAAAAGATATTTCCTATTATCCACAGGCATTTTAAAAGATATTTCCTATTACCCATTTAAAAATACTATATGTGCTAAGATATATCTTTAAATACTAGATGAATATTTTTGACATGCAATAACTTTAGTACAACATAACTTTTTAACAACTCTCACAATACCTCCACACATAACAAAAATAAAGTTGCCTCATATTGTAGTCGGACCGTTTTGTAAACATTACAGGCTGGAAAATCACATGGTAGGATTCAGCTTTCCCGAACAATCACTTTTTTTTTTTTTTTTTAGTCATAAGCGTAAAATTAATACAAATCATTAAAGTATTATTTTCCTTTCAAATATGTTTCTAAATTAAGAGTTTACATAATATTTGAATGCTCACCAGTTCTGGTACGTAAGGTGGTTGCAACTTTTTAGCTAAAACATCATCCCAGTTAACATTTCTAAAGAATGGATGGCATTTAATTTGAGCAGCATCTTCAGGTCCACTTCCAAGTCTTTGACTAACTTGTCGTTTTAAGAGCTAGAAAAAAACATAATACATGACAAAATGCTAATCAATCTTTAATTGTTCAGAAACTTAATATATATATATACATAAAAACTTCCTTGAAGTTGGAGTTTTTCAAAATTTACTAAATCAATAGATTTTACATAAAAAGCAAAATAATTTTTAATTATTGTTATTTAAACTAGGACTTCTAAACAAATTAAGATAAATGAACTCTTTACATAAATTGTTGGATTTAACTTGTTTTGAGAGCATACTAATGTGCCTTTAATTAGGATTGAAAAGTGAAGTATCAGATCTTATAACAACGATCAACGATCCTATAACCTTACGCATATTTCCAGGGTTACCACAGTAAATAATGAACAAAAATAGTTGCTTTTAGTATCCTCAAGCATGAAAATAGTTGCTTAAAACTATAAAAATAGTTGCCTCAATAGGAGCAAAAATTTATCAAAAATAGTAGCAAAAATAGTAGCCAAATAATTAAAATTGTAGCTTAATTGCCAAATCCTATGATAAGAACTGGTTGATGTCAGAAATTTTAAATCGTGATACATCGTCCGTTAGACATCGCGATTAAGCATATGTTCAGAAATTACCTATGGGAAATCAATCAAAAATAAATAAAAAGGAATAAATCTATTACAAAAGAAAATATTAATTCTAAACATATTCTACTATAATATCAATATCATTGCTTAATTTTTTCAATTAAAATAATAAAGAAGTTAAAGTAAAAGCAAACCCAAGATTTATTTCATTCTTCTTAAATTAAAAATGATTTAAGATTTATTGGTTTAAAAATAATAATACTGTAACAAAATATTTTACATACATGCATAAAAAAAAGTGGAGAAAAAAACCCATGTTTTTGAAACATCATTAGACCATCTTTTATTTAATTATTTAAAATAATATAAAATAGTATTAACTAATGGTCAAATTCTGTACTGAATAAATGTAAAAATATTTTTACTTATTTATTATTATTTTCGTTTTTGAAAATAAAATTGACTAAAGATTTATTTCTTTAAAAATGACACTGACTATCTAACAAATTATAAAACAAACAAGTATTGAAAGAATTTTAATAAAATTTTAAAAAAAATACTTTAAGTACTAATGTAAAATTATTA